TCAGCAAACCCCAAGTGCTTCATCATCAGCAAAGATTGTGTTGTGCTCAATTGTATCAAAAGCTTTTGTAAAGTCTAATTTCAGAATAATAAGCTCTTTTTTGGAATGTTGGCATTGATGGATGTACTCATAAGCCCAGGCCAAACAATCCTGTATTGTTCTATTTTTTATGAAGCCATACTGGTTGGTATGAATTAAAGGAATTATTTTAGCCTGCAGCCGATTGGCAAGGAGCTTTGTGATGATTTTGATGACACCATTCAGAAGGGAAATGGGCCTGTAGTCATTGACACTTGTAGGATTGTGCACTTTCGGGATTAGAGTGATGAATGAGCTGTTGATGGCTTCCAGATTCAAGTTACCATTGAAGAAATCAAAGCATAATTTGTAGACATCTTCTTTTATAAGATCCCAACATTTTTTCAGAAAGAGCCCATTGAAGCCATCTGGACCAGGAGCTTTATCAGACGGCATGTGTTTGATGACCTCATCAATTTCATGGGTGGAGAAAGGCCTTGAGAGAGAAACTAAGTCATCTCTAGCCTGCACTAGATGATCAAGGTTGTAGAGCATTGTAGGATTAGAAGAGCATCCCATTCTCTTTTTAAAATCCTCTAGTATTGCTGCAATAAATCACTAAATGTTCATTATGTGCAGTCACCTTAGTGTTTTTGTGTTACAGAAAGCGTGGCAATGCAATATTTTGCAGTCAATTCACAATTTCTTTCGTTCTAACACAATTTACTGTATGACTGACAGCTGTCATCCATCCATTTGCTGAACATGTGGTATATTTCATGTTGTTTTCAATCCCGACAATAGCACCCATCTTTATGGGCTGTGGTTCTGTTCTGGCCATTGTCTTGTGCATTGCATACATTGACTTCATGAATAATATGGGGCACTGCAATTTTGAGCTGGTACCAAAGTGGATCTTCAAAGCCTTCCCTCCTCTGAAGTATCTCATGTACACCCCATCGTAAGTATAACATCTTAACATGAAAATACAAATCTTATCAACCAGTACCAGGTGATGAGATTTGAGATCCCTTGAATTCCCATGTGAACAGGATTTTTTGGGGGGAGGGTGGAGGGGGGCAATGATACCTCTCAAGCCTCAACCATTGTTTTGTCCTACAGGTTTCACTCTCTACATCACACCCAGTTCCGCACAAACTACTCACTGTTCATGCCATTCTACGACTACATGTACAACACCATGGACAAGTCAAGCGATGAGCTTTATGAGAAATCACTGAAAGTCACAGATGAAACACCAGATCTGGTTCACCTGACACATATGACCACCTTGCAATTGACTTATCATCTAAGGATTGGGATTGCCTCCATTGCTTCCAAACCATCTGACAACCCAATATGGTATAGCTGGATGATATGGCCTGTGGCATGTCTGTCAATGGTATTGGCATGGGTTTATGGATTGTCTGCATTTGTCATTGACAGACTCCAAATGAAGAAGTTCAAGATGCAGACATGGGCAATACCAAGATGCAACTTCCAAGTACTTGACTTTTTTGGGGGGGGGCGCTTTATGATCTAACACCTTAGTACCTTACTGACAATTTCCTTTCTTGCAGTATGGCGTGACTTGGGAAAGAGAATCCATTAACAACTTGATCGAAAAGGCAATATTAGATGCTGATGAAAGGGGGGTCAAGGTGCTCAGTCTAGGACTACTAAATCAGGTGATAATCGTACTTGCCTTACACATTTATAGGTCATGTACTGCAAATAAGGAAAATGCAAAAAAGCATATAAGCCAAACACAAGTAGGAACACATTTCCTGTTTTTTGGATTCAAATAGAATTTTAAGCCAGAGTATTGCGCAAATTGGTGCACACTACACACTAGTTTCTCCTAAGAAGTTCAAAGTGAACAATCTTTCATCCGAAGTTTTAAAATGACCAGTAAAAAATGAGTCTAACACTATATTTGGTTTTCTAGGCAAAGACACTTAATAGAAGCGGCGAACTATTTATACAAAAATATCCAAAACTAAGAGTGCGACTTGTTGATGGAAGTGGCTTAGCAACTGCAGTGGTGCTCAAGAGCATCGCCTTTGGTACGAAGAAAGTGTTTCTTTCAAGAATTACTTCCAAGGTAGCCCAGGGAACAGCTATCGACTTATGTGAGATAGGCATCCAGGTACATCTGTCATTCTGCCACTCTATTTGTCTAATAGGTCGTGCTAAGTGTAATATGGTCTTCTTAAAATCTTCAAAACATTTCACCAATATATTTCTGCTCAGGTAATCATGAATCAAAAGAAGGAACATGACATGCTCAAGTCACGTCTTCCAGAGGGTAGAACTGTCTACCTAAAATTCTCCAATAAAGACATACCTCAGGTAAGAGGTGTATAACAAAGGGATGAAAAGAAAATCCGCAGGAGCCATAGCCCGTAGAGTGACTGAGTGAGTACATCATAAGGGGGTCTCACTAGCAAAAGCATGAGTGCATGACAGGATAGTGCATACTGTAGTATAGACCTAATTACACAAATCTGGCTGTTAACGCATTCTGCCACTTCACATCTATGGACTAAACCTTTTGCGCTTTAGTGATAGAAAGTTTTGGAAATACCATCTACTACCAGATGACAAGAAAACTAGTAGGAAAAATATTTATAACTAGGACATATAATATAACTAAAGGAACAACCCTCCAGCAAGCAGAATATACTATTGACTGAAGTTCCATTTTACAGATCTGGATAGGAGATAACATAGATGATAAACAGCAACAGAGGGCACCAAAAGGAACGACGTTCATTCCTACATCACAGTTTCCACTTAAGAAGATCCGCAAGGATTGCACTTACTTGAGTACTCCCGCAATGAAGATCCCAGAGACAATGAAGAATGTTCACACCTGTGAGGTAATAATAGTGGCTTCTGTTACCTGTTCATGTAAATTCTTGTAAGCTTTGAAAAATGGGATCACATATCTACATAGGGAACTTCTCATTTTTCAAAGCATTGAAGGTTGGGATAGTGCAATCTACTACATCAGTATGCATTGCTGGAATCTACATCAATATGCATGACTCAAATAGATAATGCAATCTACATCAGTATGCATGACACAACTGGTTGTATTCACAGAATTGGCTGCCCAGAAGGGTCATGAGTGCCTGGCGCATTGCTGGAATACTGCATGCTCTGGAAGGTTGGGATATGCATGAGTGCGGTGACGATAAGACTTGGTTGGCGGCCATTAAGCACGGATTTGCTCCTCTGACAAAATATTGATTCTTCTGAATCATGGCAGACACCAGTAGACGATGCAGGTTATTCAACTATGATGCAAAGCAAGTTTTTCGGTATGAAGAAGAAGAAGCATCACAAGTGCTTATTGGTTTGCTAGCCTTGTCAAACAGTCCTTGAATTGTAATCTCGTAAAGGGAAAGAATAAAATAAGGGACTGAACTCCAAACTCTACCAAGAGCCAAGTAACTCTGGATCGTATGAATGCGATATATATATGTATTATCAACTGATATGCAGTATCGAGGTTCGGTACTGAAGTGTAAATCATGTATCAATGGTCCTCAAATGCAACCAATTTATCATACACCATACTACGTACGGGCTGCCAAAGCTTGCAATGTTACTTCATCCCTACTTCCACAACCATTTCATGCTACTCCAGTGACACGCCAAAGGTGTATCCAATGTGCTCCACGCAGCAAACACAAATTTCTAAACAGTAGAAATAAGATGTCGGTTTCTATGCATCATGCATCCCCAACTCGAACAGTCAATTCATCCTTGGCAACCAGCAGAATGGGAAGCTTACCTGGGCAACAATGTCGGAAGCAGGCAAGTAGGCAACGACTGCACGGAGAGCCCCCGCACCAGGTCGCCTCGGCCTCAACTCCAGGTAGTCAGCCGGTGGTGATTCGCCGATTTCTGCTCTACGACGGGTCAACACAGAGGGGAGAGTGGCGGCGAGCCGGCGACGAGCAGAATCGAAGAGGCGGCGGTGGCTGGTCGGCCGACGGATGGCACTGTGGAAGGCGTGGTGGTAGCGTCGGGCGTCCGGGCGCGTGAACCGGCCGGCGGCATCGAGCCGATCGGAGCGGCAACCAGCGACCGGTTGTGGGGTCGGGCGTCGGGGCTTCGGGGGTGGGGATTCAGGTGCGAAACAGTGGTTAGTTTGGGCCCTTGGGGCCGGGGACTGCGAGTGCCCCACGGCCACGACCGACGAGTCGGCGGCCTGGTTGTCCGCCATGCCCAAATTTCAAGCTTAAAATTCGCATTAACCCCAGAAACCTCGGGATTTTCAGTTTAAAATTTAAAATGGGCACTGGCCTAGACCTTTCTTCTCTCTTTTAATAAAAAAAACACTCTATCCCTACTATAATATAAGTGACCAATCAAAACTTGATACACCCAGAATTGCGTCCCCTGCTGAGACAGCCTAACCACCGTGCACCAAAAATTTTGTACCCAGAATTTCAACAACATTAAAATCAATGGTGCCTAATTCTCTTTCAAAGGCTTCACCTAATCTGACGGCCAATGTTATTTGGATCCCCCATGCCGCGCCAGGCTTCAACGCTGCTGCCCCCCTCCAAACTCGCGCAACGCATCGCCCAGCCCAGGTTCGATTCCTGCCCGGCGCTCCTTTTATTTTCTTGAGCCCACGCCGCCCCCGAGGCCTCGTCGCCCCGACGCAGCCTGCGCAGGTGGCCGGATCCGCTGATGTAATCCCGATAATCACGGCGCTAGGCTAATCAAGTCAATCACGGTCGATCACGTACGGTAACCGCCCCCCCGCTGATGATGCTTCCATTCCGCCACTTCTCCGCCGCTGCCAATGAGGAGATCGTGTCTCCCCACCCCATCCCGCCCCTGACGTTCCCAATCCTCCGCCGTGCAGGCCGCTCCCCTTCCCTGCACCCTGCCGCCCCCTCCTCCCACACGCTGACGCCGCCGCGCCAGCCTCCGTGCTCACCTCTTACGGCACCATCAAGATGGAGGGCGCCACCCTGCGCTGCGACAGCCGTCTTTGGCCTCTCCACCGTCGCGATGGCAGTCTCCCTCACCAGGCTCTCTCATGGAGAAGATGTCACACATCTACCTCGCATTCGACGGTGCCGAGGCTTTCCCCAGGGGGCGGCGGGGTTGGCGGGGTGACCGGGGAGAAGGCGACTTGCTTCGCCTTGGCCTGCAGCCTACTCAGCCGCTACGGCAGGCAGAACGGCGCCGCCACCGCCGATCTCGGCCTCGCCATCAGAGGTGAACTCTCTTTTCTTGTCGAGGAAAAATTGAACACTCGAGCAGCTCCGTACATGTCATGTTTATCTGTTGGGACTTTAACAATGTCTGTTGAGGGGAGAAGACAATGTCTGTTGAGGGGAGAAGTGGTGAATTGGATGCGATTCATGCTAAAAGTTGCTACTTTGAGCACTCAATGAGTGGCGTCATGTTAAATCCATTTCTGGTTTGAAGATGCATGCCAACATGCTTCATCAATGACATTTGGAAACTGGAATAGTATGTGCTGATCTTCTATGCTTCACCACCTGATTATCAATGGGCTCTTTCCAGAGGAAATAGCCCAACTACCTCTTCATTTTGATAATTCTACACCTTGTTGCTCGTGAGGCAAGAACGCTGAGTTCAGACGGTATGTGATGTTTATGGCTACTATTTGTGGCACATTTTTTCGCTTGTCCAAAATGCTAACACTCATTGGTATTCTACAGGTGAAGCACTTCTTGCCTTCAAGAAGGAAGCTACAAATTCAGATGGGGTCTTTCTAAATTGGTGTGAGCAAGATACAGACCCCTGCAATTGGAAGGGTGTTATATGTGATAGTCATAGCAATAGAGTGATTATAATATGTAAGAACGAAAGAACCATTCTTTAAGCTAACTTGGTTTGTTGTGACCTGCTTAATATTTTATGTAGCTATCTACAGTTTTTGCAACAGTAGTTTGTTTTTTTATGGGATAGAATTTCTCTAATATTAGAGAATGAAATTTCAGTATCTTCTAATACCTGCAGATAATATTTTTTCTTTGGTATGTTCAGGCGTGTATAAGTTTGTGGTAGTGTGTGATTGGATAACTTGTTATTGTTTTAAATGGCATCTTGAAATTTTCTCTTCTACAATTATGGAGTAAAAATATAATGCAAACAAATTCTAGCTTACACTAGACATATTTTACCTTTTTATCTAATTCGGTGCATCTATAACTCCGCTTATAGTGGGGCGCCTTTGGTGTCCCAGCATAGCAGGTCCCAAACCCTGGTAAAGGGGGAGGATTATGTTAGGCGCGGCGAGCCAATGTAAAAACTTAGCCACTTTTATGGAGATGAAACCCAAAAGAATCCCGTTGACCCCAACTTACTTGGGACTGGAAGGCTATGTTGTTGTTGTTGTTGTTCTGGTTCGGTGCATCTGTGGGTGTTGTTGGAAGTTTCATTTGTACATGCTTGTATGTGTAACTGAATATTGTTGTTTTCTGCTTGTATTTTCCGCAGTCGCCTCATGGTTGGAGATCAAGTTGTGCCTGCCTGACTTCACTGGATCTCAGGGTTCAGAACAACTTCATGGATGCGTACAGGCTGTTGGGCATTCGTGAGCTTGTGGACAAGTTCTTGGAACTAATTTTGTGGATGAGGTTGAAGAACCTTGCGCTGAAGGATAAAACAGAATACATTCATGATGGAGACAGACACTAGCAGCATGCAACAAATCACACCTGCTGCCATATTGAGGGTGAGTTTTCTGGGTGCCGATTGTATGCTCATGATTTATTTGTTAGATTATGTCTATCTAGAATGGTTACATTTTGAGAATTATGGTTAAATCAAGGTGTTCTTTTTTTATATCAACCAGTTTCAATCATTATGTACAAGTCTTATGAGTTCCTGCCGATCAATTAGCTCGTGTTGCCCTCTTCCACACGGTCTTCTTGTCACCAATAAATTTTCTACCGGCCCACATCTTCCTCTCACCGGTGTGCCCCTGTCAATCAAATCACTTCCCTTCGCTATCTATATCTACAATCTGTAGCTAATTTTTTAACCATACGGATTTTACGGATTCGGCAATTTGCCTCTTTAGCTGCTGTGAATGTCACTGCAGACGTGTAAGATTGTTTGCTGGTACTCTCCGGACTAATTTAGCTTTTGCTTCAATGTGTTTTCGACTAAATTTAAGGCAGGTGGGTATTGAGTGAAGTAATCTCTAATTTCTTTATGCTTATCTGGCTGGCATTGAGTGTAATAGTGTCCTATAGTCTCGAGATAAGATATGGGCAACCAAAATTAACTGGGTGGCGTGATCATTGTAACACTGCAGGGATGTTGAGGAAGCAGAAGCTGCAGCATGCTTGGAGGGGATTCGATAGAAGCAGAAACAGAAGCTGCAGCATGCTCGAGTCTAATAGCTCATGATTTTTTTTCTTTTGTTGACACGTGCAAGTACAACTTGATCGCTCCTGGTATCGATCGCCCATGAGCTCGACAGAAAGGGCGGCAGCTGCAAAGCTCAAGAATTGAGAAGTTCGGAATGGAGCGAAATAATGTTGTGCATGAACGTGCATGTTTTGCCAAGTCATGTCAAAGAGTTTGTTTTGTAATGATATTGTTGAATGCGCGATAATAAATAGCTCTTTTTGACAAAGAGGTGGGTGTTACTGTAGTAATATTGGATCTAGATTTTTTGAAACTAAGTATTATTCAGGTAAATCAGTTTTTGTTGTTTGATTTGTATTATCAAATAACACCGTAGCGTTAGCACGGGCATGGTAGGAGTTACTACTGGGCACTGGCCACGCTGAACACCAGAATTGGCCCCACATCACGCTCACTAATTCAAACATCAGATCGAGACCCTCCAACGAAGAAGAGAACCCCACCAGGCCACTGGCCACCACCCCCGGCGCGCCCTCCACCCTGACTGGCCTCCACGGCAACGGTCAGATTCCCCACGAATCCAAAGCCAAGCAGCGCTGCAGCGACGCCAAAACATCCCCTTCAAATTCCACGAAATCAAATCCCCCTCCTCCCGCACGCATCTCCAGAGTTCGGGGCCGGATCCATGGGTTGCTTCCTCGCCTGCTTCGGCGGCGACGCCGACCGGCGCCGGCGGCGCCGGAAGTCGCGGAGGCAGTCTCCCGCGAGGTCTCCGCCGCGGTCGATTCATGTGAGGGCTCTCACGGACTCGGGCATCCTTTCCTGTTCCTGCGCCAGGCCCGTGGTGCCGGCGGGTTTCTGACTCTGATTGGGCTTTGGGGTTTTGTCGCGCAGGTTGCGGTGGCCCGCGAGACGGCGGATGTGGTGGTGAAGGAGGTGTCGCTGCCGTTGCGCGGGGCGAAGCCCTCGACGCTGGCGGAGGCCGTGGAGGTCCCGGACGAGACAGTCGCCGAGGCTGCCGATGTGGCGGTGAACGACGCGTCGCTGCTGTCCAAGGAGGTGAAGGCTTCAACGACGCCGTCGGCTGTGGCGGCTGCGGATGAGGCGGTCACCGACGCGAGTCCTGTCGAGGAGCTCAGGTGCGTCTGAACTCCAATGCTTCGATGACTATTTGCGCGTGCCTCTAGTGTTTACGTGCTCGTGCGAGTGAACAATGTGTTGTGTTTAATGTCTGGGAGGAACGGAGCTGCGGCTGGTGTGCTTGCTAAAATGATGAAGGGAGTAACTAGAGCCGGTGCTATTCATCAATTCATTTCATAGATGCAAGCCTTTCACTGTATGGCCGTATGGGTGCCACTGCTTGGCAACCAATTTGCTTGCCTACAGATTTATGCTGTAATTCCGTAGAGAAGAACTAAAGTTTGTGCTATTCATCAATTCATGGTTGCAATCTGCAAGCCTCGTGCTGGCTACCCATCAGCCCATGGATGCCCATGAATATGCCAATGCCTTATGTTTGCTTTCCATATTTTGCAGTAATTTGCTTGTACTGATGTGGTTCTTAGTTCTTACTTCGATTTGTTTGCAGGGATTTGAGTGAGCAAAAGGTGTTGGAGAAGCAAGCCGCACCATCACTCTCCCCAGTGAAATGTTCTCCTATTGTGCCAGCAGTTGTTTCTCCACAGGATTCAGTGGAGTGTTCTCCTGTTGCGGCAGTAGTAGTTTCAGCTCTGGATTCAGATCTCAGGTATTTGAAGGAACTAGTGTATTATTTTTAGTATATCATTAGTGACGCAGTTTACATGATCGTGACTGTTAATAAACCATCTTTCATGTTGTGTAGGGAGGTGAATGAGCATGGCAGTCAGAGCAGTGGCAAGAAGAAAGTAACATTCGACATGAATGTCACAACATATGAAAATGCAGTACCACCTGACCAAGAGGAGGAACCACCAGAAGAAGATGAAAACTATGTGCAGAATATTGTGGTTCTCCCAGAGAATCATCGTTACCAGAATTGTTTTGACAGTGATGATGATGTTGGAGATGAGTATGCTGAGGATGATGTCTATGGTGATGATAGTGATGAAGATGAGGAGGATTTTCTGGACTGCAAGATTGATTTGGTTGATGAGGAGGAAATTAGGACTGAAGAAAACAAGCAGGAGTCTCATGAATCCCTATTCTCACTGTCAATGTCTAATGATCAGCAAAATGACCAAGAAGTTGTCAGTCCTGCACCCAAGAGCAGTGGTACCTCTGTAGAGGCAGAAAGCCCTCTAATTACGACAAAGAAACTCCGTGATAGATGTCAGTATGTTCATCCTGTGCTAAACCCGGTTCAGAATCTGTCACAGTGGAAGGAAGTTAAGAGTCTCAAGGCCCAACCAGTGCATGATAAAATGTTGGATAAGGAGAATGTAAGCTTAGTGCCACATGTTGGTCCAAGCCATTACTGTAATTCTGCAAGCCACACAAGGATGAACCCTAGCATGTCAAGCAACAAGGAAATTTCTCTGGACGCTAGCCTCTCTACCTGGTTGGTTTCTTCTGAGAACTCAACAGTGGACAAGGTGCAAAGCAAATCAACTTGTTCCAACTCGTCAGTAAACCGAGAGGAAAGGCCTATCCTGGGTGCTCTGACTGTTGATGACCTGAAGCAATCATCGGCTGCATCATCTCCACAAAGATCTCCAAGAACTAACCGTGAGGGGGCTCCAATCTTGGGTACAGTCGGAAGTTACTGGCATTGCACAGAGCAGAACAATGAGTACTGTTCTTCTAGATCCAATTCAGGAACTAATGGGATTCCCAATTCAACAAGCAAGTACAGAGAGGTACGCTAAGCAAGCCAAGTCAATACATTCCTTGGATTGCTGGAACACTTTTGTGATGTACCTGTCCTTCGGTGGATTGTTGCAGGACAAAAGGGTGAACTGGCACTCGACTCCCTTTAATGTCATACTGGATAGACCTCTGAAGAAAACTTCTGCATGAATGAACTGTTGCTGTTTATTCAGTCTTGAATGGATTGTATCTTCATTCAGTATGCCCTTGCAATATACGATAGTGGATAGTGCCTATTTGTTTAGTCTAGTAGTTTTCATGTGCCAATTCGACTGCATTACATTGTGGTCGATATGTACGTTAACTGTCCATGCTGCTGGCGCTGAAAAGTTGGGGTTTGTTTGCGTATGTCCTGGCCGTTTGTTTGCTAAGCACAACTTGTCACCATGTATCACGCTTAAAGTTAGGCAATTTTGGCCATCATCACAAAGTGCGGCAAAATTCCCTTCCATTAAATTGGCTCCAAATGTCAATGACTCAAAAAAGTGCGGCAAGATTTTTGTAGAATTACTAAGCTGTGGCAAATATTTTGAGAACTTAACCTTAGACAAGTGTGGCAAATGGTGGCAATTTGTGGCTGAGAAGTAGGAACCAAATATACCTATTAATTATCAATTTTGCGATCATTATAAGTTTTGCCTATTATATTAACCAAATATCTCTTGTCTATTATATATTTATAATATTAACATTGTTGTAGCATCATAAGTTTTGCCATCATTTAAAATTCACAAAAAAAAAATCAAATTTCAAATTCTTGAATAGAATCCAAATAATCGTGTACATTAGTTATACTTAATCTATCTTTAAATCCAAATCTTACATTAAAACAACACGCGTGGTAAACTTGCTAATGGCTCGAGACAGAGGACTGAAGCCAAATCATATGACGGGACTGAATCCAAACCAATCATAGGACCAAACTGAAACCAAACCAACCCATCTTGTAGAAGTCATAATAGATCCGACACAACTTATGGTACAAGCAAGTCTGCCAAAAAAAAAAATCCTATTTTCTATTCACTGAAAAATGCATCACTATGCCCATAAATGATTGTCTTTCATCCGTTCAGTACAAGAAGATCCAAAAGAAGACCCCAAAATTCCTATAAGTTTCCATAAACTTATCTTTGCCTTTGTCATCTCAATTCATAGACTCATCAAGTTTGGAGCATAGTATATGTTTTCTTAATTTATGCCATTTATAAATGAAGTTCACTAATTCATTAATACTCTTACGAAACACATAGTTTTAATACACATACTTCAAATTCTGATGAGAAAAAACTATAAATAATTTAATGATATTGCAAACCCATGCATGCTATTTGCATTTGCAACCTTTTTTCGCGAACATGCTTAGCATGTATTTCATTAAGAGGGTAACCTCTGCTAGTTTTAGAGCGATTTTTTTTAACACTTTTTGTAAACTAATTTTAAATCTAACACTGTTTAATTTTTTCTCTCTCCAAAACTAACACTTTTGGCCGCGCCTATTTCCCTGGCGCGGCGAAACGCCTGTGCCGCGCCATGCATGGTGGCGCGGCGAGAGGGATGACGTGGCGACGACCGGGGCGCTGACCGGTGACGTGGCAGGGTTTACCGCACCACCGATCTTGGCACGGCAGTGACGCGCCCTGATCGGTGGCGCGGCAGAGCCGGCTAAAGGCACGCGACCCAGTCCCGCCTGCCTACCGCGCCCGCCGCGCCTGGTCGCTTGCCCGCCGCCTCGCCTGCCCGCCGCGCCTGCCGCCGGCCGCGGCCGCACGTCGCCCGTCGCGCCGGGCGCTGCCACGGCCGCCGTGCAAGGGTTCAGCAACATGAACGCAGGCGCACCACGGCCGCCGGCCGCCCGCCACGCCCGCACGCCGGCGCGCCACCCCCTCTGGCCTCCCGCCGCACCCTCCGGCCACGCACGGCGGCTACCCGCCGCGCCACGGACGCCCACCGTGCCCGCCACCGCCCTCACTGCCGCGCCGCCGCCCTCACTACAGCGCCCGCGACTGTCGCCGCCGCCCTCACTGCCGCGTTGTACACCGCTCCCAACTGTCGCACGCCCTTCTCTCTATCCCGTGTCCACCCGTCGCAGCCGCCAAGGCCAGCGCCCGCGCCTCCCGGCCCGGTCTAGCGCGCCGCCGCGGCGAGGACGAGCGCCGCTGCCGCGAGGTATTCTCCTAGTATATTTGTTGTTTGAATCGACATTGTTAGTATAGTAAGTTAGTAAAATAAATAAAGTTAGTATAATTAGTAAAGTATAGTTAGTATAGTTAGTAAAGTTAGTTAGTTTAGTTAGTATAGTCAATATAGTAAGTTAGTATAGATAGTAAAGTTAGTTAGTTTAGTTAGTACAGTTAGTGAGTCTAGTTATACATTAGTTGTTGTAGTTAGCCTTGTATAGATATTAATATTAGATTAGTTAGTATAGTTATAGTTAGAATATGTATTAATATTACTATGGACATTACGTACGATGATTTCGATGAATTGATGAAGTTTCTTGAAATGCTTTTGTAGATGGATTGTTGTGTTAGAGTTTTTTACGGAGAAAGTGTTAGGAGAGAAGATGGTATGTTTGAGGATATGGAAGAAGAATTGGAATGGTTTGATGAACCTTCTAGCTTCAACGACCTTTGTGTCTGTTTGAATGCAAAGTTTGACGGTGATTTCATACTGAATGGGAGGTTTGATACTGGGAAGACTAGGGCACACTATGTCCTCATGCCCTTGTGCGACCCTGCTCACTGGTCCCGCTACACTAGGGTGCTCCAAGGTTCCAATGTGCCCATGGCTGAGCTAGTGGTGGAGAATCGGTACAGGATGCAGGGTGTCCAGGACGGGCCGTCCATTGATGGTGTTGGAGGCACTGAGCAAGAATTAGGGGTCGAAGGGGAAGCATCTCAGGGTAACATGGATTTGAACGGTCAGTTGACGCAGGAGCAGTTTCATTCAAGTCAAGTAGGCTGTATAAGCAATGATTTCGATGTAAACTAGTTCGAACTGGAAGAGGAGGAGCAGGAGGAGGAGGACATGATCGGTGATGTAGTTAGCAGTGATTCGGACGATTCAGATGGGGACCAGGGAGATAGACATGCTATGCCCACACCGGTTGGTGCCATACCAGTATCTGTTCATAGTATGCCATTACCAGTACCAACTGAGGTTTTGCATGCTATCCAGGCTCAGGGTAGACTAGTCACATATTTGCCAGCAGATGATACCCCCTATGATTCATGGGGCAGAATTAGCGAAGCGCAGCAGTATGTTCCACCACCACCTTACATAGCGACTGAGCTTGAGCAACTAAGGTCGATGAACGTACCTTTCAGGGACATTCTGAACCATAGGGATGTCAGCATGACGGATATGGCAGTTTGTGACACCGGTCTCTAGATGTGTAGGAAATCATTGTATGACCATGAGAAAGAAACCCTTAGGAAGGGGATGATATTCAATACAATGTCAGAGATGAAGCTCTTCCTTCAGGACTATGCTGTGTATCACCATAGGCCGTACAACGTCACTCATTCGGACCAGGAGTTGAGGTACCACGTGATATGCAAAAACAATTGTATGTGGAGGTTAAATGCATGAAAGAGAGAGTGATGGCAAGTGGAGGATAAGTAAAGTTGTCGAACCCCACACTTGTCTAACAAATAGGGGGAAGGAAAATCATCAGTAGCTCACTGCATGTTACCTTGCCCATCGTATATTGGGGCTCGTTGATGACAATAACGACATTTCGGTGTCTTATTTATAATAGTTCATATCTGTATTCGTTAAGTACGATGTAAAGTACGGAAAGACTTGGCGTGCTAAGCAAATTACACTGGCAATTCGTTGGGGTAGTTGGGAGGAAGCGTACAATAGGGTGCCCCGCATCTTATGTGCAATGCATTACTACAACCTTGGCTTGAAATGGTTTATGGACACCAGAGGGATGTGTTTTCGGGATCCGTTGAGGCATGCTCTCTATCGTGTGTTCTGGTCATTCGCGCAAACAGAACATGCATTCCAGTTTTGTTGGCCAGTCATACTTGTTGATGGCACTTTCCTGACAGGAAAGTACAGGGACACCTTGATGATGGCTGCTGCTGTTGATCCTGAGGATCAGATAGTACCCATGGCATTTGCTTTGGCAGAGGGAGAGAACAATGAATTGTGGTCATGGTTCATGTGGCTTCTACGTGTACAAGTGCTTGGCCCATCTCGCACTATATGTTTGATCTCGGACCGTCACCTAGGGCTTCTTAATGCTGCAGCTGAGCATATAGATGGGTTCCCGCCTCTAGTACATAGATGGTGCATGAGACACTTTGCCGCTAATTTCTGGCGGCGTCAGAGAAAGCAGGAGGTATGTGACAAGGTAAAGGCTCTATGTTATGTACGTACAGAGCACCAGTTCAAGGAGATAAAGAGAGAACTAGACAAGATGATAAATGAAGCAGGAAAGGCCTGGTTAGAGGCGCAGATGGAACAGAAGGCTCAGTGGGCGTTAGCATATGACGAGGGGGGTTTCAGGTATGGCATCATGACCACTAACTCCTCAGAGTCCTTCAACCGTGTATTCATCGAAGTTCGATCGTTGCCTGTGTCTATAATTGTTGAGTTCTCCTTTCATAAAGTGTAACGAATATTTTATCAAGAGATGGGAACTTGCGCAGAGGAATATAGCTGAGCAGGGGCGTTTTGGAAAGGCCGGAGCAGAACATTTGAATGAGGTCGAGGAATTAGCCAAGCAGCACACCGCCGAGCCGTATGGACCCCGTCGCCATATCTTTAGTGTACAGGGCAAGGGTGGCACAAGCTTGGGCGGCGAATGTTATGGTGGACGAAACTATCGAGTTGATCTTGAAAAGGTAGAGTGCAGTTGCAACGTCCCTCAGATCATGCATGCCCCTTGCTCTCATATGATCACGACCTGTAGGGTTCACGGGTACAACTATGAGGATCTACCATATATGTCACCCTTGTATATTCGTTCGAACACCATTAGTATTTGGGAGATGAGCTTCGAGCCATACCTTGATCCGACACAGTGGCCACCTTATAATGGTTATGACTACGTGCCACATCCGGATCTAATGAAGGTAGGGAAGGGTAGGAAAAAGAAGAAGCGACTCAAGGGGAACATGGGCGCTATGAGAGGGTATGGCAAAGACATGTACGGAGAGGGAGACTTCAACGAGACCCGTGGCAGAAATTTTTGCTCCGTTTGCAAAGACCCTGGTCACAAGGCTAGCAGGCATAGAAGACGAGGGCAGCAGGTCCATACATAGAAGTTCAAATTTTGCAATGCTACATAATGTTAATTTAAATATTGTTAATTTGAATACTCTAACCCTTTGTTTATCAATTTGTAACAGGATGGCCCCTCCCACGCAGCACCAGTTGTACCCCCTTCTTAAGGTGGAGTACAACGACCTGCACCGAGCACACTTCTTGACTGACACCGACGTAGAGGTGCCCTTGCCTCCTTTGAAGGCCCCACACCGACGTTGGCTACAATCCCACTATGTTGCCTACAAATCCGAAGAGACAGAGGCGTCCGAGGGATCCTTACACTTTTGGGACTTAGTTGGTTATGTCGAACTTATATCGAACGAATATTGTCACCAATGAAAATGTTATGTCGCAGCTTGTCAACTTGCGCACGGACTCAAATTATCGCTTCATATTCATTTCAATGCGTCACGATAGCACTTGTAGTTGTTTACAGCACCGACAGCAGCTCCCGTTCAATTGGAATTGAGGCGGGTCGGTTTCTGTCTGCGTCCAGGTCCTAACCTTAGCCCATAGTTCCCAAACATAATTTTCCTCCTAATATTAACTTTCATTCATAATATTTTAATCCACCGTTCAAACAAAAATAAAAAGTACGTCATTACCTTGAACGAGGCCGAGGAGGGAGGGAGGCGGCCAGAGAATGGAAGGGAAGGGAGGGAGGGAGGCGACAACAGAGGGTCGAGCGCCGACAACACTTGGGAGTGGCGGGCAGGCAGGCGGGCAGGCGCGGCAGGCAGACGGGACTGGGCCGCGGGCCTTTAGTCGGCTTTGCCGCGCCAACGATAAGGGCTCGTCACTGCCGCGCCAAGATCGGTGGCACGACAGACCCTGCCACGTCACCGGTCAGCGCCTCGGTTGTCGCCACGTCATCCCTCTCGCCGCGCCACCATGCATGGCGCGAGACAGGCGTTTCGCCGCGCTAAAAAAATAGGCGCGGCCAAAAGTGTTAGTTTTGGAGAGAAAAAATTTAAATAGTGTTAGATTTAAAATTAGTTTACAAAAAGTGTTAAAAATAAAAAAAAAATCTTTAGAGCAAAGGAATTTTCAAGTACGTGCTTTAACTATGGATCATGTAAAAACTATTCCCTCCATTAAAATCTATAAATCATTTTGATTTCCTAGATACATAATTTATTATGTATCTAGACATAGTGTATATCTAGGTGCATAGTAAAAACCATATATATCTTAAAAACCAAAATGATCTATAATTTGAAATGGAGGGAATAGTATTTTGTGGTGACAATGTAGTTAACTGTGCTACAGACATGCAATAGATGCAACTTCTAGGGTGTACCAAATTTAAAAAAGAATATTATATCATAAATCCATATATCTCATATCTAGAAAGTAATTACGTGATGCCTTGGATTGACATGCATGTCCTAAGAATGCATTGATTCATTGTTAATGATATATATATCTAAAAAAGAATGCATTAATTCGTTGTTATTATTATCTAAAAAGAATGAATGCATTGATTGAGCTAATCAATTAGATCCTCATTTGACTTCGAGCAATTAAAATTCTCCAATCCATGATAGCCAAACCTTGGTCACGGCTCTATATATATATATATATGCGCGCTTGCCCAGGAATGTAAGACACCACGTAGTAGTTTGATAGCTTCTTTCCTCTAGCTATTCTCTTCTCTATGACGATGCCGATCCCGTCAATGGTTGTGGTAATGGTAATGCTACTTATGGTAGCGTCTACGGCACAGTACGGCCATCACGCACAGGCCTATGCTCCTGCCCCTCATCACCATGCAGCCGCTCCGAGCCCTCATCACGCCCCGGCACCTGCGCAGACATCGGGTTCTCATGGTCATGGCCACGATGGTGCTGACCATGCACCGGTGCCAAGTCATCATGGTCATCGTGTCCACCACGCACCAGCACCGACGCCAGGTCATCATGGTCACCATGCACCAGCATCGGCGCCAGGTCATCACGGTCATCATAGCCATCACGCACCAGCACCGACGCCAGGTCATCAAGAGTATCGTGCCCCAGCACCGGTACATGCCGACCACCAATCGGCTCAGGCTCCGAAACTACATCATCCTCGCCATCACGCTCCAGTGCCCGCTCCTGTTCATGGTTGCCAGGCCGGTCAGAGCTCCTACTAGTCTCTAGATGCAAATGATTGTAACATGTGTGGCAACAATAAAAGGCAATATTTACATCTTGGTTGTCTTTTTATGTGCCTGCTATGTCTCCGTGTTGTTCTTGGTAATCTTGTCCAATTAGCCTAAGGACCCGTTCGGTTTTGCTGGATTGCACCAGGAATTATTCCAATTGATCAATTCTTATATAATTTTTGCAAAGCAATCCAGGTAGGATTCATTCCAGGCAATGATTTCCTGCCAAACGAACGAGCCCTAAATGGAGCTACAGGTTTGTTGTTTATAGTTGCACCTCCTCTGCTTACTTCCTCGATCTCAGAAAAGAACGTACATCTCGTTTCTAAAAGAGTTAATTTTTTCTGAAATTCTTAGTCACCGTTGCACATCCAGAGAGCATTCTGTCAGCACACACAAAACAACAAGAAAACTCAACCCCCCTTCCCTCATCGTGTGTGGGAGAAGAAGACCTTCCTCTTCCTAAATTTCAAAACTTAACAACTACTCTGACCCACCGTTTCCGCTTCTTTGTTTCGACCAAATCAAAACAGGGAAGAACTATGGTTTTGGAGAAGCATGTATGCATGCAAGATCAAACAAAATTCCTTACATCAGCCTGTGTGCTAGTATTGTGAAATTCCAGAGCTATTATTTACAAACCAAGTATTTAAATTAAAATTTGATTATACCAATATGTTTCTTATAACAAATCCTTCAAAATAAGACCCCACTTCAATATATTTGGATAAGTTTTGTTAAAAAAAATATTTTCTCATGTTTTTTATGAGCATAACAATTTTGTCCTAGGCTCATGAAATAGTGTTCTGCCTTCACAAGAAAAATGTTATGGGTTTTGGAGAATAGTATTTTAGGTTTAGGTAAATAAAATTCTAGGTTTGGTGAATCCATAATATTCATGTTCAGTAATAGAATAAAGAGAACATCTCATTAATACTACGTCAAGTATCCCATTGGTTTGCACAAACAACCTAAAATACACAATACAAAATCTCATGAGTATTATGTAAACAATCAAAAATATATTGTAGAACATCTTATTGATACGATGTAAACAACCTAAAATACACTGTGTAACATCTCATAGTTATTATAGAAACATTATAAAATACACTATGCATAGGACATGAATACATGAGAAAAAGCAGAATACACCTTGTAAAAAGTAAGAGAACAATGCTATCAAAAAATGGTTAAATATAATATCACCACAAGATCATGGATAAAAAAGCTATAAAATATAGCCAAAAAATAAATAAAACAAATAATAAAAGTAAAACAATATCTCAAGTGAACATCACTAAAATATCACAGTAAAATGAAAGGATATAAAATATATAGCTGAAAACAAAGAAGAAAAGGAAAAATAATTCAAAATACACAATGGAACATATCATGGGTAAGTGAAAATGTATGATGGAACAATCCATGGATACAAATCGAACAATCCATAATACATCATGATACTATAAAAACATTTCAAAATATACCATACATAATAATATTTAGGTTGCAATCGACAATACATTGTGAAACATCCCATGATTACTATGCCAACAATTCAAAATACGCCATGCATGCTAAAAAGGAATGCACATCTTGTTTTCTGGGAAGTCAAATTTTTTAACTTGATTAAATATATAAAAATATTAATATTTATGTGTACCATTAGATAAACTGTGAAATATACTTTCATAATAAATATATTTGAAGATATAAATATTGATACTATTTTCTATAAATCTAGTAAAATTTGAAAAAACATCTAATTCTTCTAAAAACGAGATGTAAATTCTTTTTGAGATGGAGGGAATACAACATGAAACATCTCATGGATATTATGAGAAAACTAAAAAATAATATACCCTCTGAACATCCATGGATAAACATGATCAATCCAAGGAACAATGTTTCTCACGAGAAAGATGCTACACGTTAAAACAACAAGATCCTTCTTCTTGCCATAAGATATTGTCCTTTTTCTACTATCATTTATGAATACTTACCTCAGCTTGGAATTTCATTCTCCTAACTCTAGAATATTTTTTTATGAAGGCCGGACATGGTTTGCTAAATCTAAATATTGTATTGCTTGACAAAAAGAAAGATAATGTATCTTCATGATAATTTTTAACGAAATTTTATCTAAATTACCTAAGAGGCCGTTTGGATCCTTTCATTTGGTGGAATAGTCTAATCTACTTAATATATTAGGCTATTTGGCTTGAAATTTGATATTCCGTCGCTTTCTAAAGTTCACATACAAGCCTATCTCAAATTCATAGGATGCGAGATGGAAAATTGATTCTATGTTTCTACTTTGTAACTTATAACACGCTATTCAATCCGCTCCCCTACGATAGAAATGCAACACATAAATATCTCTCTCGTATAGCCAACAATAATATACAAATAAAATCCATATATAACCATATTAGTTTAATTAATACGTGTCAAAATGAATTCAATTCCATGGATCTAAACAGGGCCTAAGTGGAATCATGTTTTGAATGATTTATCGTAAAAAAAACTATTTAAGCTATAGCCTTTTAAGTTTAATGCAAATGAAAATGTAAGTAATCTTGCTTATACTATAGATGCCTCACGTTGGCCCAAAAGAAATAAATAGCCCACGAAAAAAATCTTTCACCGGTGGCCCACGTCGCACATGCAGAGAGCAGTGTGGTTCTCAAGGAAAAAAAATGCAGAGACGAGACACCAGTGTAGTCAGCGCGTTACGAAGGTATATGTTTGGATATATTGGAACTAAAACTTAGCGGCTAAAGTTAATACTAATGGATCCAAACAGAAATATTAATAAATTTGTTAATTATTAGTTGAAGAGCTACTAACTATTTAGGGTCGGAACCGAGTTTTTTAGGGCCTGAGATGAAACCAAAATTCAGAACCCTTTATATACACAAAAACTAAATGCACGTAAATATAAGAAATGCTATTGATAAACACTTAACTGCATATACAACAACAATATTCATAAGAAACAATTCATACATATTAAATTACTTTAAAATTTTCTTTGGAGGCTCATAGATGTGAAGTCATTGATGATGGTATCAATATCAATATCATACAACGAGTGATTAGTTTCCATGATAAACTAGCAAATGGGTTCCTCACTTTTATGGAGGAGAGCCCACCTTTTCTAGCGTAAAACGACAAAGTTTACCAATCTCTAATGAAGATTAAGGTTCGATATGAACTATTGTCCTAAGGTAGAAGAAAGAAACATAGGATGTGTTTGGTTTCTTGGACTATTTCTAGTCTGGCTAGATTCCAAGCCTAGGCAGCTTTAGCCCCCTTCCATCAAGCCAATCCCTAATTGTTTGGTTGTCTGCGTTATCTAAACCTGGTTGAAAGGTCCTAATATGGCTAGAGAGGGGATGAATAACCTATTTAAAAATCTACAAGATCACTAGAGCAATTGATTAGTATGACAAATGGCGTAATATAATTTTGCTCTAGCTCTACAAGGGATGCAAGCCACCTATCCCAACAATTCTACTTGCTATAATCAATAGGCACACACAAGAGCTAAGTCACTACTCGCTAAGAGCTCTCAACAAGGCTACACTAAAGAGCTCCGCTAGATGAAACTAAGCTACAAAGCAAGCTCTCAAAACTAGCTACACTAAAGAGCTTGCTACAACTACTTTGCAAGAAAGTAATGGAGTGAGTAGGGTGATTATACCGCCGCGTCGAGAAATGAACCAATCACAATATGATGATAACCAGTCACTGGGAGAAATCCAATCACATAAGAGACACAAGATTTTTCTCCTGAGGTTCATGTGCTTGTCGGCACGCTAGTCCCCGTTGTGTTGGCCAACACTTGGTGGTTCGGTGGCTAAGAGGTGTTGCACGAACCTCGTCCAACAATTGGACACCGTAAAGAACCTACCCACAAGTAAGATAACTCAATGACACGAGTAATTTACTAGAGCTACCTTGTGGCTCTTTGCTGGAGAAGGTGCAAGAACCATCACAATCACCGGAGCCGGCCACGAACAATCAACAACACATGCCGAAGCTCCTCCGCTACTCTAAGCCATCTAGGTGGCGGCAACCACCAAGAGAAACAAAAAGTCCACAACCACAATGATCCACAGGTGCCACTAGATGCAATCACTCAAGTAAATACACTTGGAATCACTCCCAATCTCACTATGATAATGAATCAATAATGGAGATGAGTGGGAGGTGTTTGTCTAGGCTCACAAGGATCTCAAGTATAGTAAAGTGCCAAGAGAGTGAGCCCTAAACCGACCAAACCCCTTTTATAGAGCTCCCCAAACGAATAGAGTCGTTAGGGACGAAGGGGAGCTTTCTGCGTGCTGACCAGACGCGTCGGTCAGGTTGACCGAACGCGCCCGTGCCAGCGTTCGATCACTAATCCATCGCCACATGTCCTTGCTTTGAACGTGTGCCGCTCATCTCCAATGGCTACTAGACAACGCACTCGGGGGTTAAGTCATGACTGGACGCGCTAAACGAATTGACCGGACGCTAGCCATGTGGAGTCCGATCAGGAATAGAGAGGTTCCAGAGCACAAATTGACTGACCGGACGCGTCTGATCAACGTCGACCTAGCGAGCCCCCGTGTCCGATCCTTACTCCGCTCTACTGTGCGCTCCTGAGATGCTGACACCAGCGTACGTCATCAACGACCTGACATGGCCCCTACGCGTCCGATCATGCCAACTCACCTCCTCCGAAAAGGTGACCAGACACGACGCTAGAGTCAGGTCCAGCGTCCGGTTCTTCCTTGGCCCTCTTGGCCAATCAGCGCGCCACCGCTATAATTGACCTGACACGCCCAAGGTGAGTCCGGTCACCCCGACACCAGCGTCCGATCACGCACCTTTGCCTCCTTTTCATTTTCTAAGTCTGCAACCACTTCGCCCTTGCTTCTAAGTTGCTAACCACAGAGTGTAGAACTTGTGTGTACATGTGTTAGCATTTTTTCAAAGCATTTT